TTTTTTTTTTTTTAACATACAATGTATTATCTGTTTCAGAGGTACAGGTCTGTGATTCATCAGTCTTACACAATTCACAGTGCTCACCATAGCACATACCCTCCCCAATGTCTATCACCCAGCCACCCCAACCCTCCCACCCCCACTTCTTTAGGCAAACTTCAGCCAAGATGCAATATGGGTCAGGGTGATTTTTTAAAAATCTGAGGTTGATGAGCTTCCAAAACCTGAGTAGTAAATATGATTTATAAAGGTACCCACCTCTGGAGAAAACCTGAGTAACAAAATCCACGTCCTCCAAATACGTCAGTTATTCCATAGGCCATTTCTTAAAGTAAGTCTGCATCCTATCTGCTTTTATAAACACAGAATATCCAAACATGTTTCTAAAATTTATTTTACAGTACCAGTGCCTGGATCTCTTTAGAACAATATGCTGCTACTATGCCATCCTTAAAAGTTTAGACATTTAGATTTTTGTAGTTTGCTTACTTTTAAATTCAGTTGGCCACATTGCTTTTGTTATTCTGATTTTTCACACCTCTTATATAAAACCATTGTCAATATGGAATGACAAAATGGAATTAAATTATCTGACATCCTTATACATTCAAATGCTCACAAATTCTCACATGTATGTTAACATGTAAAGTCTGAAACTGTGAAGATAGTTATTATCAGCATTTACTTCTTAATATAGTTCTAATAAAGAAAAAAGCACCAGACTGGGAGTGGAGAGATGTAAGTTCTATTTTCAGCTCTGGCGCTAAGTAGTGACAGAAGTCACTTACAAAAAAACAAAAAAAACAAATACTTTATTGAAATATGATTGACATATTAAAAGTTGTACATACTTAATGTATACAACTTGATGAGTTTAGAGACAAGTATACACCTGTTAAACCATCACCATAGTCTATATGCCATAAACGTATCTATCGCTTCTACAAGTTTCCTCCAATACTCTTTTTTTTCCTCCAATACTCTTTAGTTACTATTATTATTATTTCATGATAAGAACACTTAACATAAGATCTACCTTCTTTTTTTTAATACTGCTGATTATAGTTTATTATATTAGGATACAAATTAAGACGAGTCCTCCAAAAGAGACCACAGTACAAGGTCTGGGAGGGTCCCAAATGTGAAGTTTCTGTGTCCTCAGGACACAACACTTGCAGCCCATCAGTGAGCAGGAAGCTCACTCAAGCCTCAGTGTCCTGAGTTTTTATTAGGGCCTTATTATATAGGCATAATTACTTGAAAAAGATCTACCTTCTTAATACATTTTTAAGTATACAGTACAGTATTGTTAACTATAGGCACTATGCTGTTCAGTGAATCTGTAGTACTCATTCATCTTGCATAACTAAAACTTTGTGCCCTCTGAGTAATACTTCCTTGTTTTCCCTCCTCCCAGCTCCTGGTAGCCATGATTCTACATGCTACTTCTATGACTTTGACTATTTTAGACTCCTTATATAAGTGAAATCATGTAGTATTCGTCCTGTGTCTGGCTTATCTCACTTAGCAAAATGTACTCCAGGTTCCTCCATGTCTCAAAAGGCAAGATTTCCTTCCTTTTTTCAGGCTGAATAATATTCAATGTTATGTATATGACACATTTTTAAAATCTATTCATCCATCAATGGACATTAGATTGCTTTCAAATCTTGGTTGTTGCGAATAATGTTGCAATGAACATGGGAATGCAGATACCTCTTCAAGATCCTGATTCCAATTATTTTGAATATTTACCCAGATGTGGGATGCTAGATCATATGGTGGTTCTATTTTTAATTTTATGAGGAACCTCTATACTATTTTCCATAGTGATTGCATCAATTTTCATTCCCACCAACAGTGCACAAATGTTTCCTTTTTTCCACATCCTTGCCAACACTCCTCTTTTGTGTTTTTGATAATAGTCATAGAAGAGCCATTTTTAACATTACTTGTGTGTGTGTGCTTGTTTTTTCATTAATGATAACAGGGAGTTAAACTAGATTCATTTTTTCAGCCAACAAATAATCATTGAATGTATATTATGTTTAAGGCCCGGTGCTAAATTGCAAGTGGGAACCAAAACCAGTCTTTGTTCTCTAAATATTTCCTCTAATATATTAACTTCTCCCTCTTATCTGTATTCCATTTCAGGTTTCCAACTATCCAGACATACTCAAGCTGTGTTGAATCACCGATCTGTACTTCTGAAACAAATAATGCAACATATTTTAAGAAAAAAGAAAAAGAAGAAGATAACAGGAGAGGAAGAAAAGGGGAGTATGTCAGAGGGGGAGACGAACCATGAGAGATGATGGACTCTGAAAAACAAACTGAGGGTTCTAGAGGGGAGGGGGGAGGGGGATGGGTTAGCCTGGTGATGGGTATTGAGGAGGGCACGTTCTGCATGGAGCACTGGGTGTTATGAACAAACAATGAATCATGGAACACTGCACCAAAAACTAATGATGTAATATATGGTGATTAACATAACAATAAAAAAATAAAAAAAAAACCATACTTACCAACTTCCTGATAAAACTTATTTTTCTTTCCTGTATATTTTCCTCTAAATGGCTACCCTATTTCCAATGATCCAGTGTAGAAATTCTGGAATATGTTTGACTCCTCCTACATCTCCATTTGACATTTCCAAACTTCCACCAATGATTCATCTAAATTTATCTTGGATACACTTTTCTTTCATTCCAGTTCTCCCTAATCTAGCCTGGGACCTCATCTCTTAAGCACCAGATTGCTATTTTTGCTTACCTATAGATTCCCCAGCTTTCAGGTACTTTTTTCTCCAATCCAATCTTTACGTAATTTCCTAAACTAAGGTTCATAAAAACCACCTACAATGGTTCTCAGTGCCCTTTACTTAGGTCCAAGTTTCTTCGTCTGGCTTCTAAGGTCTGCCACTACCATTTCTCCTCTGTCATCCCTGTGTCAGTCCTGTTTGCTTAGCAACACACCCATTTCTCAAATCTATGCCCTTGCTTATGTCGCTTCCCAGATTGGAGTGGCATTGCTTCTTTTTTTATTAAAAATTAAATCATCTTTCAAGACTCAGCTCAAGAGTCAAGAATCAATTCCTCCTTCTCTTAAATCCTATTGAATTTATAGTGTATATTATACTGATTAGCACAACTGTTTTTTTTTAATATTTCAAGTTTTCATTTAAATTTTAGTTAGTTAACATAGCATAACATTAGTTTCAGGAGTAGAATTTAGTGATTCATCACTTACATATGACAACTAGGGCTTATCACAAGTGCTCTCCTTAATGCCCATCACTCATTTAGCCCATTCCCTGCCCACTTCCCTTCCAGCAACTCTCAGTTTGTTTGCTATAGTTAAGAGGCTCTTATGGTTTGCCCCTCTCTATCTCTCTCTTTTTTTAAATTTCACTTATGTTCATCTGTTTTGTTTCTTAAATTCCACATACAAGTGAAATCATATGGTATGTGCCTTTCTCTGACTTATTTCGCTTAGCATAATATACTCTAGCTCTATTCACGTTGTTGCAAATGGCAAGATTTCATTCTTTTTCATTCTTTTGATGGCTGAGTAATATTCGATTATGTGTGTGTGTACATATACACACCCCGACATCTTCTTTTTCCATTCATCAGTCGATGGACATATGGGGAGGAACATAGGGAGATAGGTGGGGAGAAGCAGAGGGAGAGAGAATCCCTAGCAGGCTCCAGGCCCATTGAGGAGCCCAATTCAGGGCTCCATGCAGGGCTTGATCCCACAACCCTGAGATCATGATCTGAGATGAAATCAATAGTTGGATGCTTAACTGACTGAGCTACTGCCCAACTGAGTTTCAGTTTATTGTAGCTTATACTTGGCCCACTCACATTATTCTCTGAGAGGCAGAGCTCCCTGAATTGCAGGCATAATGCCTAAAGGAATAAAACTGGTGTCTAGAGAGATGATTTTACCTCTCTAACCTTAAATGGGGTGGGGGTGGGGTGGTAAGTGAGAGTATAGGTTGGAAGGACAAAGAATACAAAACTCATACTCTATTATTAGATGTCTCATCTAAGATATTTGTAAGGAGAGTAGAGAGTGAAACACCTCCACAAATTCTAGTTTGTACCTAGGATATAATATTTGTATGCAGAAAATGTGAGAACTCAAATTCTTACTATTGATCATTTTGGGGGGCTTATGATCAAATGAAGTCTAAAAGATAAAGTGAAATGTCAAAAAATCCATATTTTTTATTTGTGAGATATAGTAGAGTGATAGATTACTGTTTCCTAAGAAGTATAGATCTCTTTTTGATTATTCTTCTTGTTACTAGAATAGTTTAACTTATTAAACTGAAGCAAAGTTTAACAACTGCTTGTTCTTTTTTTCCCAAAAAACAAGAGGCATTAAAAATTATGTTAAATATAAAGTAAAAGAGCTTTAATATTAATTTTGTGTAATTTCCAACAGGTTAAATATACTTTAAAAATCATACCTGAAGTGAACTGAATCATTACTAACGGGCTTAAAAGTGTATAAAAGAAATTCAGTAAGGTTCATTGTAAACAGTAAACCAAACTCAGTAGGTTAGTACATTACCAAAAATATAAGCTCAATAATATCTTATGGAAGTGATATTAACCCTTTCAATATAGCTTCTCATCTGCCTCTCAATCCTTCCAGCTGAATTGTTCTCTAGAATGAGAACAATTAAAGAACTCTTGCCAGAATAACAATTACAGAACAATGACTATTTTGCACAAGGACCTTCCTTGAGGTCAACACGGGTTTCAACAGAAATCACTAACCACTTCCTTTAGTACTGCCAAGGAATTTTCCTTTTTTTTTTTACTGTGTCAGTTTCCATTACCAAATGATTAGACTGCAATTTCTATCATGCATGATTCATTCTGTTGAAGTCTCATTCATAAAACAAACAGTAACCAAACAATATTTTCCATTACTTTGTAAAAAAAAACTAGACAACAACACAACAAAATTGACCGGCTTACCATTTTCCTTCTTCATTTTCATATTGTTGAACAGTATATCCAAACATGTCCTCCACGGGGCCACTGAAAGTCATTGAATTTTTCACATCAACGTTGAATGATACGCAGAAGCCTAGAACAACTTTAAGAGAGAAAACAGAGTCCAGTTACACAGAGTTAACTAAGATTCCATAATGTTTTGAATTATGGAAGGCATGTTAAAAAGAGCAATGATGTTCAAAAAATGAGAACTGCAAGAAAGGTCTACAATATTAATTGTATTACTGACCGAAAATAACAACTAAAGAATACAAGTACTAATATTCAAACAAAATCCTATAGAAATTTAGTAGCTGTACCATTCCCAGAGCTAATGACTTCAGAATATGAGAGAGCTGGCAAAAATTCATGCTTGTATATGCCTAATGTGGTTACAGATATCTTTCCAGTAGTGAGCCCTACAGTGAATCACGGTCACCAGTGAAATGTAAACACCTTCTTTTTCCTGTTTTCACTATGAAGGATGAAAGAATCACCCTTTAAACCCTCAGGAGAGGAAGCTTTCTCCTTGCTGCTTCCAAAGGGAATGCAAGCTGATTGCCTCCACCCAGAAATGGCTTCCTAAGCAGGCCTGAGGTTTGCTCCGCTTCCCTCTCAATCAAGTGGTGGACAGAAAGCTTATCCTAATACACTAGAACCTCTGTATAGAGTTGGTGGTGATAACCTCACAGGTTGCTGTCCATGATATATCTAAATCACATGACATATCTAAAGAGCTTACTCAGTGCTTGACACACACTAGATAGTCAATGAGGGTTAATTCTCTTCAATTTCCTTAAAGTTCATGTAATGAAAACCCTTTACAAGTGAGACTCTCTCCTAAAAGGGTTCTGGATGGTGCCAAATTCTGTCAAATGGATGGTGCCAAATTCCATGTTTGGTACTACTTTTTAAAGTATACTTGTGAAGTTACAAAACATTCCTCTCCTAGATGCAACTGAGAATTCTTCCCAAAGAGCACTCCCTTATAAAATCACAAGCATCATAAGGCACATTCAGAGGTAATTAAATTCACTGTTCTTTATTAAAACCATGATACAGCTACACACATCTTGAAAAATTCTCTTTCCTTATTCATTATAAACCCTAAATCCAAACTCGAATTCATTCTATGCTCTAATTCATAATCTTCAATTTTAACATTATTGTTTCTTTGTTGCACAGGATTGTACCTAATTTAGAGAAAATTTTGTTCTTAATATATGTTCTCCCAAAGGCCATTAAAAAAGGATATTTATGTATACCTATTTATAAAGTCTTCCTTGATCTTTCCTACTGGAAATAATCTTTTTAATTACTAAATCCTCCTCTTTCATTTTCTGAATATCTCTCATAGAAATAATTATTAAATACTATTTTATTTACATTGTAATTATCTCTGTGTGATTTTCCCCCCCCCTAGTATGGAAAATTCTTAAAAGCAGGGAATTTCTTCCTTATCTTTCTTATCCCTTCTCAAAATCTAGCCTAACTCCTTGTACACAGATGGGCAATAACATATTTGTAGAGTAAACACATTGAAGGAGAAAGTGTACCATTTGAAGTTAGAGGTGAACTGACAACTATTTCATTTTAGCTAAGAAAGACTTAACGGAGATGGAAATTTTCAAGTTAGATTTTTAAAGGGAGGGAGAGATTCAAATTGGCAGTGAGAAGAAAATATGTCCCAAGGATTTGGGAGGGTCTCTACAAGTAAGAAGACATAGAAAGGGACAAATATGGTTGCAAAATCATAGAGAGATTTGCTTGGCTCGCGTGGAAGATGCAGAAAAAGAATGGAAGGCTACCATTGGTCCATTTATGTATATTTCCTGCTCCTACTTCAAGTGTGATGGAGACAGCTGGCTACCATCTTCTGTATAATTGTCTTTCACATATTTGAAGACAGTTTTAAACATGGTTCGCTCTACTCCAAACTAAATAGTACATGCTCCTACCCTTCTCTTACAGGTTTATTATTTTGAAAACTTGCAACAGATTATTTTTGATATGAGGGAGACACAAAGTAGTACGTCTACAACAGGATTTCTCAACTTTGTTGTTATTGACATTTTGAGTCAGAAAATTACTTGTTATGAAAGTCTATACTGTATGTTGTAGCAGCATCTGTGGTCCCTGTCCACATGATGCCAGTAGTACTCCCTGGGTTATGGAGATCAAAAATGTCTCCAGACACTGACAAATTCCCCTGGGACCAAAATTGCCCAAGTTGAAAATGACCATTCTATAGATAAGGACCAGAACACCACCACCAATGATTTTGTTGAAGAAGATGATGGAAAAACAACTGGCTTGCAGACCAGCAGCATCTGCATCACCTGGAGCTTGTGAAGGATCCAAAATCTCAGGTTCCACTCGGATTTCCTGAACCAGTATCTCCATCCCAACAAGATCTCCAGGGGGTTCAATTCCTGTTAAGGTTTGAGAGGTGTAAGCCTGTAATATGGTAACCCTCTTTCATAATGTTGATGTAGGTAACATAATTTACCCAAATTAAAAGTACTCACCATCTTTTAGACCAAACGGGGAAGGGATTATCATTAGTCAGATTCAAGTTCACCTGCTCTTGAAATATTTTTCCAGCACTTTATTGTCTTTAATATATGTTCTCCCAAAGGCCATTCATGATACTCCTCAATATAAGACCAAGAGCTTTTGGTTTCCTTTTTAGGCCTGTTTATTCCACATGTTGTGTGGAATGTCCGGGGTGGGGGGGTGTGCTGCACTTTTTTTTTTTCATTTCCTGTCTTCAGAATTCTACAGGCAATTTGCCCAAAGTGATTGTAAATCAGTCTCTTTCATGTTTGCTAAGGCACCAAGGAGACTGAAGCACAGGAGATGACATAAAAAAATAGTTTACATCTTGTTCTTTTGATTTAAAGAAGTGCACAAACAGTGAAAGCAGCTTCTTGTATTTTTGAGTTTGGTGCTCATTTTGTTATACTAAGTTGTCTTGGAACTTTATGTACCAGAGGTAAAGTAAAAATCATACTTATTCTTCGTCAAAGTCAAAAAACAAAAACAAAGTTGACGTGGCTTAAGGGGCCATATAGGGTGAAAATGATGGGAAATAAGACATAGACAATAGCCAGATGTCAAAATTAAGTTCTGATTTCACATGTACCAGCAAAAGAGGAACTTTTTCCCTTAATAATAACAACATAATTACTATGTGTTACTCTTCACATGCTCCTTCTCATATAATTTTCCCACAACCTTACAGTTAGTGTTATTATCACCACTATGCAAATGAAGAGGAGGAGGCTCAGGATAGCAGAGAAATTTGCCCACATTTCCCCAGGATTCCTAAAATTCACATTAATTTGATTTCTACATTTTATCGCTAAAACTGAAATGGGCTAGTAGAAGGCAACGTTACTATTAGTCCATGTAATCACATCTTCTGAAAAGCAAAATTGGGGAAGAGGCCTTCTACAGTGGCCATGGCTAAGAAAATGGGGATGAGGGGGCTGACTGGAGTAAGGAGAGAAGTCATGCCTGCAGAGCTCTAGATAAAGCATCATGAGATATTTCAGCCAAAACATTCATGTTCAGGTAGAAAAGAAATGGATAGGCTTGCTCTCTTTCAAATATGATTATATGTGTTATATATTTAAGGGCTAAAAACTGAGGAGGAAGATGAGATTGTTGGTATTGAAGGGTATATCTTGTGAAAAGAGATCATTTTGCACAATTTCTTTGCCCCAGTATGGAATTTGATGTGTAAGACAACTAAATGAGAGAAAGAGAAAAAGAGAGGAAGAGAGGGAGAAGTAACCTACAATTGTATGGTATTTTCTGCATATAAATATTTTGCCACGGGGCCACCTGGGTGGCTTAGTCGGTTAAGCAGCCAACTCTTGACTTTGCCTCAGGTCATGATCTCAGGGTCCTGGGATTGAGCCCCACTGAGGCTGGTGGGCTCTGCACTCAGCTGGAAGTCTGCTTCCAGATTTTCTCTCTCTCTCTCTCCCTCTGTCCCTCCCCCTGCTCTCTTTTGCTCTCTCTCAAATAAGCAAATAAGTCATAAAAAACCCTGTTGCTACTTACAAACATTTTCATATAAAAAGGGTATTGAACTAGACAACAAACTGTAGCGGTTGGGCAGAACAGTAGCCACTATTCTCTTCTTGTATGTTAGGAAACTGGACCTTAGAAGGGTTAAGTGATTGGCCTAATGTTAGGCTGTGTTAGTGGCAGAGAAGGACTTAACATTGGGCTTCTGAGGTCAAATCATAGACTTTCTGTGTCAACAGTGCCATTGAAGTGATCAGATTAATAAAAATAAAAATCATAACCCAGGTCAATAGAACGCTCAAATAGCCCATGAGAGCTCTTAATCATCTTGTAGCTTTGGAGTAGTTGAGGGTAGGACTGGCAGGAAAAGTTGAATGAAGGGAGCAAAGTCAGGGCATCTCCCGAGGGCACCGACCTTCTGGTCAAAAAAGACCTTCCTCCTCCACACATCCTCTGAGTTCCAAGAAAAGTCACTGCAGCCTGTTTGATTTTTTGCTTTTTAATGAAGAAAGTCTGTCTTTCACAGGGTGGTCCAGAAATTCTGATCTAATAATATCCAGATTGAAGCATTTAATAGCCAATGGAATTTTGAATATTTAAAATTCTAAGCCCAAGTAAAAAGGGTATCAAATAAATGGTGGATATTAAAATGCTATTGCTTTCTTTCAACAACTTCCTACACATTTATCCAATCTGGACATAGGAGAAATCATGGAATTAATATTATATTTATTATTTTTAAAGAGTGAAATGGCACAATAGTAAGATAGGAAATAATAACTTTTATTATAGTTAATGGTTTTTATTTTTTATTGGTTTAATGGTTTTTATTTACTTATTTTTAAAGATTTTATTTATTTATTTGAGAGAGAGTGAGAGAGAGAGTGTGTGTGAGCAGGGAGGGTCAGAGGGGGAGGGAGAAAGAATCTGAAGCAGACTTTAATGAGGAACCTGATGCAGGGCTCAACGGGAGGCTCAATCCCACCACCCTGAGATCATGACCTGAGCCAAAACCAAGAGTCAGATGCCCAACTGACTGGGCCACCCAGGCACCACTATAGTTAA